TTTTTTTCATATTTCCTCGCACGTGATTGGCTGAGCTGTCATAGTTGGGGCATCTTGTTTTTTTTATATTTCCTCGCATGTGATTGGCTGAGCTGTCATAGTTGGGGCATCTTGTTTTTTTATATTTCCTCGCATGTGATTGACTTAGCTGTCATAGTTGGGTCATCTTGGGGGTTTTTTTCATATGTCCTCGCACATGATTGGCTGAGCTGTCATAGTTGAGGCATCATGTTTCTTTTCTTCATATGTACTCGCACTTGATTGGCTGAGGTAACTGGCACAGTTGGGGCATCATAGGCATTGCAATGTATTGGGTTTTGTTAATGGATCTTGCAGAGGCTGGCACAGCTAACTCCCCAGGATAGGGATCAGACAGGAAAGTGACAGTTAACCTGTAAGAAATGTGATAGTTATTCTGAGCCAGTCTCATGACAGCTGAAAATGACACTGACATGGCGAACAATCACTAGAAATCACTGTTGCAACCATGTAAACATGGATCCAATAAAAAAAGTATTAAGAGCTGATAAAGGTGTAACTTGGGTGTTAACTAGATAGGAGTACTCAGAATTGTCACACTACCAGCATTCATCTATGAATTGCTTTGCTACTGGTAACATAATGAGAAAACCTTTTCACTTGGACCCAGTGCAACTTACAGCTCAGTCCTTGCTATTAACCAACATGTGGCTTGCTTCTAGGCAGGTACTAATGAAGATGACTTCTACGATGGTGCGTGGTGTGCGGAGGATGAAAGTCTGGTTCAATGGTTAGAAGTGGACACGCGAAGAACCACATTATTCACTGGCATTATCACACAGGGTCGGGACTCTTTGATCCAGTGAGTACATGGCTCTGGCCTACATACAGATATAGAACAACATCTTTATATATGGTGTGCTGATGCTGAAACATTCATAACCTACGTCCTTTTCTCCAACAGTGATGACTTTGTCACCTCTTTCTACGTGGGCTTCAGTAATGACAGCCAGAACTGGGTCATTTACAGCAATGGGTATGAGAACATGGTGAGCATGTGCATTTTATACATCTGTTATCACTGCTATCCCTATCAGGTACAGGTACAGTACCTGTAACATGAATATTTGTAAGATGGCAAATACATTTTATTTATGCTCATTAAAAACAACATAACATATTAAAATTATCAATGTGCAAATAGGAACACGGAACCCGGGATAAAGTTATGTAATGCATCATCACATAGTAAAATTAGTCCTTTGCAATCACGGTGCCTAAGCAACTTTTCACATTCTAGTGATGCAGTAACATCTGATACATTTCATGACACGTTTCGCTAATGATAGCTTCCTCAGGAGGTTATGGAGGCATTCTGTAATGTTCACCAAAAGTACATATATTAAAGTCACACAAAGAAACATAACATTTCTTATACATAAAAATGTAGCCACATATTATTGATTAATTCAGCGTACATGAAACAGCACATAGGAGAACACGTGATTGCAAACACACCACCACATCGGCTTTCCCCTAGGGGCCGTAGGAGGGGCAACCCAAGCGGGCAAGAAGAAGGCAGAGGGGCGATTACAAAAGCTGAAAAGAGGGAGTAGAAACACTAACATAGATAGCTACTGCCTATAGCAAGGGAGAAGGGTGTGTATAGTAGATATATTCAAGCACATTGGCCTAAAATGTGCATATGGATGACTAAAACCTAGCAAACAATACATACAGTATACAGTGTGATAGAAACATCATTCAAAATGCCATCCAGCAAATTCTCGAGGTAAATATGGCTTAACAAGAAACTGTGGGTGGTGCTAAAAGATTTCTGCTAATGGATACACACTGCATATAGCTGGATATGTATAAGGTTATATAAATCCCATACATTAGACTTACCCGGGTCCCCAGACTAAGGGGGAAAAAAAACACATGATACTCTCTGCTAATGGATCATTGGATTCTAGCCTATTATATGTTTTTTTCCACTTTGTCTCGGGATCTCGGGTCTCTTTGAACTAAGTATGTCTCATGCATGGGATTTATATGTGACCAACCAACTCCTAAGGCCTACATGCTCAGACATTTTCTTTACTGTGATTATATGCCATTCTTTTTGAACTTTTGCCAACCTTCTTTCTTTTGTAATATTTTAACTCTCAAATCGTAAAAGTGTTTCTTCATTTGGTATCTTTAAATGCTCTTATTATCATTTATGGCTGTTTAGTACTAGAAGTAAGCTACAAAGTATATCTGTAAAAAGATAAGTCAAGGCAACTGGACTTATTGCATTAACCTGCCCAGAGAGGTGTTAAACAGCATTGTAACAAATGGTTCACCCAAAAGACCCAACGCCAAAATACAAGATGAACAACATTGTGTATGCAGTCCAGTGCAGTGAGGAGTGCTTAGAATTGTATGCCAGTGAGACAAAAGCTACAGCAGCTACACCAGAGTATGACACAGCATAGAAGAGCCAAACTCTCTGGTCAGGATTCAGCAGTGTACCTACATCTAAGGAAAAAAGGTCACTCCTTTGAAGACAGTCAAGTGCGCATCCTAGCCAGGGAGGAGGACTGTTTTAAAAGAGGTGTGTTGGGGAATTCACCTAAGCCGGCTGGACAGGCCCTTTCTCGAGGCCTTGGGGGACAAGCAAAGAAATTTACACAAAGGCAGGTTCAATACATGTCCAATTTATTGCAGTGTTTCCAGTTGCCTTGACTTATTTTTTTACAGATACACCATGACCTGGATGAATGAGAACCTTTAGAGACATAAGCTACAAAGGTTTTATCATTTGTACTTTTTAAAATGTTGTTCATGAAAATGAATTGTGTAATACGTTTATACAAAATGAACTCTCCCGTTACTATCTGTGTCTTGTAGGGCAGCCCTTTGGTTCTCCTAGAAGTGTTTTTGTCTTTCTGACATGTGCTTGTTTTTTCAGTTTGGATTACATGAAATCATGTTCACTGTTACCCAGGTTTTTAACATGAACATTTTTAATATGCTCTGTATTACTTGACACAGTAATAGGTACAATAAACCATATTTTCTAGTTGGAGTGTACAGAAACTTCCCCATATATGTATCCTGTAACTATTTTTATAAATTACTGTCCTGTTGCTGCCCCAGCAGTGCTATTACACCTGTCAATTTCAAAGTAGTCTTATTGTTACTACTGTCCCAGCCTGTACAGCCATTTATATCTTTGGGAGGAGCCCAATGATGCCTTGTTGTCATCATTCCATCAAGATCATCTTTATACTCACCTATAGGACACTTCTTATGTAGAGACAGATACCACCACCTTTTCTGTTTACCCCATCCTTCCAATAAACAAAGCAGTTTCGAACATGGATGTACAAAGCAGAAAGGAAGGCAGTGGGCATGCAGACAATTCATAGGTGGTTCGCCAAACATATGAAATGTCATCTCTTGCTACAATGAACTGCACAAAAAACTGTCACAGGAACCTGTGGGTCAGGCACAAGTATAGGAACATAGTATATAAAGGATGTCCAGGATAGTCTACACACTGCAGACAACCATGATGTGCTCTAGGCTGGATTTCACAAGTGTGTCTCTTGTATTCTTACTAGCAGTCAGTGATATAAACAGCAATATCTGTTAGTGACGACTTGTCGATTCAGAATCAGTGGGCGGCATCCTAATGTGTATTGACTAAACCCATAAAATGGAAGTAACTGGTACATTTAGAGAAGACTGATCAAAAGCAACAAGAAGTTACTCTGAGGATTGCCTTTGTCCTTCTAGATGTTCTATGGAAATGTAGACAAGGACACACCAGTGCAGACGGATTTTCCCGATCCAATGAGAGCAAGATTTATCCGTATCTACCCGCAGACATGGAACGGCAGTCTGTGCATGCGTCTCGAGGTCCTGGGGTGCCCTATTTCCAGTAAGAAAATCAATGTATGGGGATATTAACGTACTAAAGTAACAAGTGTATTTTTATCTATATAGCATCATCATCAGCATCATTATCATCATCTTCCATAGCCAGTTATAGGGATCACTGAACCTTTCACATCAGTCTTGGCCCCTGAAGGAACTTAAAGTTTAATGTTCCCACCACACAGCCATGCAGAAACACATGCTATGGCCAGTTTGGGTGGAGGACATATAAGTATAGCTACAGACAATCCTTTTTCTAGTTTTGGATGGCGTGGAGAGTGATTGAACTGTCTGTGTACCCATAAGACCCTGTTCATAATTGGCGTGCACTTCATTTCAAGGGGCTGCCACATGCACAACACATGCGGCAAAGAAGCTCATGCAGCAGTTGGAGCTCCAAGCTTCACGTGTTTTTTGACCAATTTATGCGCGTTTGGCACACGTCAACATGCCGGCAAAGATGCGCATTTTACCGGCTGCATTTTGGGTTCCATTAACAAATAATGGTATTGGAAGCGCGTCACACATTTTTAACACATTGCGTGAACGTGTGCCAATGGCCACTGGATGGATCTGAGGAACATAGGAATTAAATACGTATTAGTAAGCAGTTATAATGTTACAGTTCATGAGAACACTGGAAGGAATGATCATATCAATGTAACCACTGCTATTCTCATGGTATTAATGGTTACATTTATGTGCTCATTCCCTCCAGTGGTCTATGGAACTGTAACATTGATTCTCGATATTAACTTCCATTTATTTCCCATGATCCCCAGCTCCATCTATTGGCATAGTTTCCTGATTCACTCTGCTCTTTACGAATTAACCTGTGGAAGAATATTTGACCAGAGAAATTACACTCCATTTTCCCCATTTTCACAACTGCGGGTTAACTTGCACAGAATGAATTTACATGCAGTTTTGTTGGATGAATAAGCAATGCAAATTTTTTTATAAAAAGACCCCTAAGTGTTAGTTGTTATTATAATTATGTTCAACCATGTGAATGTTATTTTCAGTGCTTGCTGCTGACTTTAACAAATATTATGACAATCATTATAGGTTATTGATTTGAACCGATTGCTTGTTTCTAGGGATGCACCGAAATTTCGGCCGCAGAGACATATGAGGCGAAAACGGCACTTTTGGCAAAATGCCGAAAGTGCAATTTTTGGGCCAAAATAGCGGTGCATCTGTGATTTCTCTCCTCCCTGCTGGGCGAGCAGGGAGGTGTGTGTCCCAGCGGGGAGGAGAGAAACCGTCAGAGGAGGCCGAGCAGTGCGGGAGGAGGAGAGCGATGTGAGCGGCCGGCGTCTCTCCTCCCCACACACCTCAGTCTCCTGTCACAGATCAGGAGAGCGGTGGTGTGGGGGCTGTGACAGCTGTCAGCCGTCACAGGAGGACGGCCGGCGGTGCGGGGGAGGAGTCAGCTCCTCCCCGCACCGCTCGCTCAGCCTCCTGTGACAGCTGTCAGGATGAACAAGCAGTCAGTGATCAGTGATCGCTGAGTGTTTGTACATAATGGAGGACAGAGTATGTTTACTATATCCTCAATTAAGAATGATCTACATCACCTCCTGTTCATTGGTGATTGTGGTTATAGTAAACACACTCTGTTCTCATGTTATGAATGAACAGGAACACTCAGTATAGAGGATTATTTATTTTATTTAATTTATAACAGGGGCTGCAAAAAAAGAGATTGAGGACTCTGTGTAGTCAATACCTTTTTCTATTTTAAAAGGGAAATATTAGGGTTCTATTTAGACCCCCAATATTTCCCCCAAAGCCCCCAACAATAAAGCGAAAAATTAAAATATTTAATAAAAAATAAATAAAATGTGAAAAAAATTAAAAAGTTTATAAAATAAAGTTTAAAAAAAAGTTAGAAAAACAAAACATTTTCGGTTTCGGCCTGACATTTGTTTTCATTTCGGTTTTGAAATTTTCATTTCGGTGCACCTCTACTTGTTTCTGATCACTTGTGTCCTGCTTCCTAACAGATGTGGTCAGCTACTATAGCCAGAATGAAGTGATAACCTCATCAGATAATCTGGATTTCCGGCATCACAACTACAAAGACATGAGACAGGTGAGCTTCTCTCAGACAAAACCACTACGTTGTTCTTCTTCCTGTTCCTCTTTGTAACCACCAAACATGTTGATTCGTTTGCAGCTTATGAAGGTTGTAAATGAGGAGTGTCCAACCATCACCAGAATATACAATGTTGGGAAGACGGCTAAAGGTCTGAAGATCTATGCTATGGAGATCTCAGATAACCCAGGGGAACATGAGATAGGTGAGAGTCTTCTTCATCAGACCCAGACCATGGCAGAGGAATCTATATCAGTGTATACATAGTGCTTCATACAGTACCTACCCTTCACTGACCTCATCCCTTAATACTAGTGACACGCACAGCAACATCCAGGCAATTTTTTTTGCATTGGAGCCAGCAAAGCATTGCAACTGCAACCAGTCTAGAGACTCTAAAGCTGACATTCAACCAGTGGGTGGCCGAAATGGTCACACACTGGTTGAATTTCAGTCAGCAGGACTCGACCGACAATTGACCAGTGTATGTCCAGCCTTAGATTAGGAGAGGTAGGAACAATGCAGTGAAGCAGACAGTGTTCCGTTGATGTGCTCTAGGACTGCAAACATGGTAACAGGAGGGGAGAATATAGGGGTGGCCTCATCAATGTGCTGCTGTTCCTTCTTTGTTGGGTCACAGACTGAGGTGGATCCCTGACCAACCTGTATTGCTTACCTGTAGTATAGTCTCAGACATGGCCTATGCCAGTTGACAGGTATCCATGGATCACACGACCATCTGAATAGAATTGTAAATGCTTTCACAGGAACAATTGACACTTATGTATTTAGACTAGAAATGGTGACGGGTAGAGGAATGAAAAGCCAAGTTTGTTCTAGAATATCCTACTTAGCCCATGACATTTTGTCTGTCCTCTGCCCACAGGAGAGCCGGAGTTCAGGTACACAGCTGGCCTTCATGGCAATGAAGTTTTGGGACGTGAATTATTGCTTCTCCTGATGCAGTTTATGTGCAAAGAATATCGAGATGGCAATCCACGTATTATGACCCTGGTCCACGAGACCAGGATTCACCTTGTACCCTCGCTGAACCCCGATGGCTATGAGATTGCCACTCAAATGGTGAGTGCCAACTAAATGTGTCTTCATAGGGCTCTGGTCAATAGTTTTAGGTACAAGCCAATAACTGTATGCCTTGTATTAGATTATTTTACTGACTGCTTTGTTTCATTGCAATACCTGTAGCTTCTGCGGTTTAATTTGCATATTGATAGTATGGTCAGGCACATAATATGTTACCTTTAAAACAAAAAATACACACCCTGCTGCTATATCTGGCAAGAAACTCACATTAGAGATAATCTGTGTTGACAGGAACATGGATGGTGCCATTGTTTAACCACCCCCCTCTGAAAATGTTAGTTGCCTGACAGTCATGCTGGACATCTAATATATTTTCTGAGGCACTAACCTGGAAAAAGCATGTGGCAAGTGAAGTCAGAGTTCCTTATGTTGTATAGATTTTCCAGATCGATTGCTCAGCCTACTAAATCCATTGGATCAGCATGGCAGGTAAACAACTGCCATTTTCAGAACGAGTAATCAGCAATGGCAGCGTTGCTAAGAGGATCTCCAGCTTTGACCTAAATCTCTTTCTCCTTCTCTAGAGCCTTGATTCTTAACTGGTGGGTGGTGACCCAAAAGTAGGTCGCAACCGCGTGTTTAGTGGGTCCCCGCGTGCCTTCCACTTTTCTAGGTGAGAGGCTCTTTAGCCTCCCCCCTAGCACAGCAGTGTCAGTTCTAATGCCAAGCAGCCATTCCAAATATGCTGCCCTGTGCCAAGTGTCAGCTTGAGGTGGGTGGGCTAGGGCCGCGAGGGAGCTCCATCCATATGTGCATTGCTTACTGGTCCCCCCACGTGTCCTGTAGAGGTGCCTAGACCAGAGTGATGTAACATTATGGCTCCCGGCACCTCTACAGGGAGTGCACGGGAGGTGTACAAGCAATGCACCTATGGATGAAGCTCCAGCACAGCACAGCAGCCCACACTGGACTCCAGGCTGAGGATCTACTCCAGTTCTCGTAAAGTAGGGAGACTGGGTGGATTTTAAAAAAAATTTTTTTTTTTTTGGAGTATGTGTGTGTGATAATGTCTGTGAGTGTGTGAAATTGTGTCTGTGGTTGTGTGTGTCTGTCAGTGTTTTTGAGGGCCCGTTAACAATAGTACAATGCGTTAATCACACAGTCCCGTGCGATTAACGCACTGTACCACGCAATTGCACCTACCACGCGCTCAGGTGCGAGAGGTGCATTGCATTGTCATTCATTTGAATGGCACCCCAAATGCATCTCCCACCCACAGCTCTATTTCCCACATCGGAACGCCTGGTACAGCAATGCCATGCATACCAGTGCAGTGCAACTTGGTTCACGACTTAATGACCAAGGACAAATGTGGCTCCTAAGGTTACACTGGTTGAGAATCACGGCTCTAGAGCATATCTCAGCATTTATTACTTCCTCTAACTTTTTTCCTGTAGTGAGAAACAGCTTTTATTACTCCCTGTGATGTCATCAGGCCGTCTAAAATTATTGCAGAGGCAAACTGCTAGGAGAAAGGGTTAGCGCAGGGTTCCCAAAGTCAATTCCTATTGACGCAGGCACATCTGCTACAATGGCATCTCCCGAGAGCCCTTTCCTTACATTGTGTGTGGGCAGACTCAGTGTAATCAATGTATTCATGTGAGGGTAGGAGAGGGGTGGGGGAAAGGTGGGGTTCAGTAGACAAGTAGGCAAGGCTGACAATGCCAGATGGCATTTCAGTGCAGCAGAGGCAGTGTTGTCACCCTGTAACAGGAAGTTAGGAGCACATTGGATTTCTGGAAGAATCAACAGGCTTCTGTACCTGCAGTATTTTTAAAGAGACAAAACATGAGGACGTGTGTATGTATTGCAGAAATGTAATAAATATGTTTGTTTTTTTATTTCATTGTGCCCAGACATAACTTTAAGCTGCATGTTTATTTGGTTTGGACTGAAGGGGATTGCTTAGAAACAGTTGGGAAATGTATATAGGGTAAAGCTTTCAATATATGTCATGTATATAGGTACAAGCAGATCAGGTCATCATCAAAACATCATGTCCATTTTTTTTGTTTTCACCTACCTCAGGGTTCAGAACTGGGTAACTGGGCACTGGGCCACTGGACAGAAGAAGGCTATGACATCTTTACCAACTTCCCGGACTTGAACACAGGATTCTGGGCAGCTGAGGACAGGAAGTGGGTTCCTCACAGAGTGCCAAACAATAACCTGCCCATTCCGGAAGGTTTCTTGGCAGAGGATGCCACGGTGAGTGTTGTTTGGCTACTGGCAGGTGATATTGATAATCTAGAAATGTCTGGTGGAAAACTGGTAACTGCAAAATATTTCTTGTCTAGGTGGCAGTAGAGACTAGAGCTATCATTGCCTGGATGGAAAGAAATCCATTTGTCTTGGGAGCCAATTTTCAAGGTGGAGAAAAGCTGGTCTCCTACCCATATGACATGGCAAGGGCGGTGAAAGAAGAAGAAGAAGAGCAGCCCATATTTCGCCCCCATCATCTTTATGATGAGGATGAAGAGGAGGAAGAACAAATGTCTGAGGTGTCTGGAGAGGATGATGAAGGAGTGTCCAGGACTACCGATCACTCTATTTTCCGGTGGCTTGCAATCTCTTATGCTTCTGCTCATCTAAACATGGGGAATATAGCCCGAGGGAGCTGCCATGCAGATGATTACACGAAGGGCATGGGCATCGCCAATGGTGGTAAATGGAGACCAGTGTCTGGCAGTAAGTAGTGCAATATTTCAGTTGGGTGTGACAATGACAAAACTACAATCGTATTGTGAAGCTGTACCACCATGAAAGATTTTACCCACGTGGTGCTACATGTGAAATGCATCATTGCAGATCTCTTCAGATCCCGCAGCTCACTGGAAATTTACAGGTTTCCTAGCAATTGCACTCAACACCTGTAACGTTTATTAGACCTCATATACCATAAAACCTGGAGAAATGGAAAGTGGAGGTGGTGGAACTGCAGCCAATCAGAGCCTCATTTATCAATATGGTCTTACCAAGAACTGGGACTACTACCCTGATCATGTGACATTGTCTTTATTGGAAATTGTAGATAACCATTTTACAATGTTATCCTCCTCAGCCTCCTCCAGCCAGACCTCTATTACCTCGATTAAACGGTGAAAGATGCTATATGCATCAGTACATCTCAGGCTTTTGAGAAATATTGAGGGGAATTTACTAAGCTTGGAGCCCATGGCAATCAACCAACTTCTATCTTTCATTTTTAAAGCTAAACTGAACCAGCTGAAGATGGAAGCTGATTGGTTACTATGGGCAACTGCTCCAGATTCTGTTTGCCCCAGTTTCCATAAATTCCCCCATTGTGCTTTGAATTTCAATTGTAAGTCACACAAGCAGGAAAATGCCCATTTATTTCTAAGTGGCAGGATCACAAAGCTCGCTGTGGTAACATGCTGGTGACAAGCTTCCAGGGAATTTCAATATAATTGTATCAGTGCTCATGTAGTCAAAGATTATGGATCTGGTTTGTTTGACATAACACCCATTCTCTTTTAAAAGGCATGAATGACTTCAGCTACCTGCACACAAACTGTCTGGAGCTCTCCATATATCTGGGCTGTGATAAGTTCCCACATGAGAGTGAGCTGGCCGAGGAGTGGGAGACCAACAAGGAAGCTCTGCTAGCATTCATGGAGCAGGTAAGTGGTCTTCAACAACAACCACCTGCCATTTGGACAACCAGAAAATCACACTGACCGTGGTTCCAAAATGTTATGGTTTAGGATTTCCTTAAAGTGAAACACTATTCACTTTTATAACACTATTTTTTGTTTCGGATAAAGTAGGGAAACGTAAGAACCCCTAAAGACTTTTTCTTGCTATGTCCCCTCTCGAAACATGCAATGGTGCCAGAAAGTACCTTTGCTTGTCTTTGACTATATTTCCCTCATGGAGGACCCTGAACCCTCGGCCCAGATTTTTAAGATCTAAGTAGAGATTAAGCCCCCTTGATCCCCAGTGCAGAGCAGGACTTACTGCTAGGTGGGGATGGGACTTAATATTGACTTTGAGAAACAATATCCTGTGCACAGCCTGGACCTAGAATCCAAGGTCCTCCCCGGGGCTCAAAATTACTAATTTGTAAACAAATACAGTCAAGGTGCCTACACTTTTCGCCACCCCTCTTTCTTAATTCATATGCATACATTGATTGCTTTCCCAGCAAAACAATGCTGGATTTTCGGATCCTCAGCAGCTAGAAGGCTACAGATTGCCCAGCACTGTCTATAAGTATACTGATATCTGCTTACTCTAACAGGTTCACCGCGGCATTAAAGGCATTGTGACAGATCGACATGGGGAGCCAATAGCCAATGCTACCATCTCATTGGCGGAAATAAACCACGATGTCAAAACAGGTGAGGCAACACATAAGCTTGTAATAAAATATATTGTAACATATATGGCAATGGTTCCCAAAAAGTAGAATATTCACCATATCTGGTACACAGGCATTTGTTATGCTTTAGGTCAGGGGTGCCCACAAGGTCGATCGCGATCTACCAGTCGATCGCGTAGCGATCACTGGTAGATCGCACTGTCCTCCCCTTGCCGCTTCTCTGGATCCCCGCTGCTCTCCCCAGCGGGGATCCGAGAAGAAGTGAAGGAAACGGCGGCGGGGGAGGGCGGAGGACGGAGCCGCTGTCACAGAACTAATGAAGAGCGGTGAGGAGAGAGAGAGAGAGAGAAACTGTGGACGAGGGGCCTGCCTGCGGAGCCCGGCTGCGGTGCCATTGACTTCAATGCACCGCCACGCCCCCTCCCGCCCCTGAATGCAGGTGTTTTTTCATTGGTAGATCTCAATGAGCTCATCATTTGAAAAGTAGATCTCCAGACGAAAAATAGTGGGCGCCCCTGCTTTAGGTGATTTGGTTGGACAGGGTTTGGTGTATACAAGGACAAGATGACTTCCATGGGAGTATACAGTTCTGGCACACTTCTCCCTATACTGCCTGGTAGTCAGTACAAATATTCCCTATGTAAAGATATACACCGATCAGCCATAACATTATGACCACTGACAGGTGAAGTGAATAACATGGATCATCTGGTTACAATGGCACCTGGAAGTGGGGGGGATATATTAGGAAGCAAGTGAACATTTTGTCCCTGAAGTTGATGTGTTGGAAGCAGAAAACAAAACAGGCAAGCATAAGGATTTGAGCGACTTTGTCAAAGAGCTATATAAATGTATAATAATAGTGTGTGACTGTGGGGGGACATTAGAGTGTAAGCTCCTCTGTACAGAGACTGATGTGACTGGCTCAGTTTTCTCTGTAGAACACTGCGGCATATGTTAAAGCTATATAAATGTAAAATAACAGTGTGACTGGCTCAGTGTGGCTGCAGTTTGGGGTGGGGGGTCGGCGGTGCGGGGGGAAGTAGCCCGGCCTAAAGCCGTGTAAGGGGCCCCAAAATTTCTGATGGCTGCCCTGACTGCAGCTCTTGTTCCCGGTCTGCAGTGGTCAGGACCTACCAAAAGTGGTCCGAGGAAGAAAACGTGTGAACTGGTGACAGGATGGCCAAGGTTCACTGATGCACGTGGGGAGCGAAGGACACCCATCCTCACAACTTACAGGACTTAGGCCTCGTTCACACCAGACACAGTGCGTTCCGGCCCGATTCTGTCCAGAACGCATTGCATCTCATTGCGGCAGTCTCACTGTGTTGTGGGGCATGAAGGCGGTGCCATTCACTTCAATGGACCGCCACACCCCCTCCTGACCCACCACATAGTGAGCCGGCCGCAATGCGATGCAGTCCATTCTGGCCAGAATCGGGCCGGTACGCACTGTGTCTGGTGTGAACGAGGCCTTAAGGATCTTCTACTCAAAGCTTGGTGCCAGATACCACAGCACACCTTCAGAGGTCTAGTGTAGCCCATGCACCGGTCAGGGTTATTTTGGTGGCAAAAGTGGGACCTACTCAGCATTAGGCGGGTTGCCATAATGTTATGGCTGACTGGTGTATACCGCTCACTCTAGTGGCAGCTCCCAGCCTATGGTATGGTGGTTTAAACCATACACTAGAAGCAGCTGTTACAATGTCTACTTTGGCGAGAACAGTGTTAGCTGCTGATCCATAATTGTGCATAGCAATGAGATCAGATGGAAAGGATCAAATATGAAAAAGAAAATGCACAAGAGCAGCTGAAATATCCAGTTGTCACAATACAGGTAGTTCACGTAGCGTAGCCTGTAAAAGACCGAACCAATATGTAAATATAATCTAATTATAGCTGCCACTTACAAAATGGCGAGGGAGGTAATGGTAGGTAATTCCATAGATGCTCCAATTTATTTTTGGCCTCAAGCATAACTCCAGCCCAAAATGTATTTTAGTTTAAGATAAAGTGGGGGGGGTGGAAATTAAAATAAATTTTTTATCTCTATGATCCCATTATGGCAATTTCCCCTCATTTCTTCTCCATGTGACGCACATTAATACAGTAAACTCCCCATTATCCAGCATTCAAATAACCGGCAAAAAACGAGGACATAGGTCAATGATTTTTTTTTGCCGATTGCCTGATAGACATACACACACTAAAAAAATGTCATTAGCAACTAAATTTATTTAGTTGCTAATGAAATACTCTGCTACTTATATCTTGTTTTAGCTGGTTTAGCTCTTTAAGAACATTTAAACTGAGAATTGATATCACATATTACCCTTTAAAGGAGAACTATGAGATGAGTGCTTTTCACTCACCTCATAGTTCTAGCCGACCTGTGACAATGAGACTGTCACAGGTCGGCTCAGTAGATCAGGAAGTGAGCGAACACATACCGTCGCTCACTCACTTCTCGATCCTGTCACGGCTCTCAGCCCCCCTCCCCGCTCCGATCCTCAACCTTACCGCTCATCCATCACGTTCTCAGACAATTCATCCCCACACAGCTACCTCCTCATGTATCACTTGCCCCTCCCTTTTAGATTGTAAGCCCTCAGGGGCAGGGCCCTCCTTACCATCTTGTCTTGAATTGTATTGTGATTATAATGTCTTCCTTATATTGTAAAGCGCTGCGCAAACTGTTGGCGCTATATAAATCATGTATAATAATAATCTCTCCATTCCTAATAGCGGCTGGCGGTGACTACTGGCGTATCCTGAACCCCGGAGAGTATCGAGTGACGGCAAAGGCTGATGGTTACACCCAGAGCACCAAGACGTGCAGCGTTGGCTATGACATCGGGGCAACCCATTGTAACTTCGTCCTGGCTCGCTCCAACTGGAAAAGGATCAAAGAGATTATCGCACTGAAAGGCAGAGGTCCTCTCCGTCTGGTGCCACCTGGAGGTCGAAAGCTCACCCCTGAACAAAAGCTCCGACTACAGCGTCGCCGTATGTGGCTGAATCGCCAACGCAACCTTACCACCACTCTCCCGCCCACCACCACACCTTTTGAACCAACCACTTTACCTCCCACAGATACCCCATATACGCCAACAACAATGCCGCCCCGCCGGCTGGAGCCACCCACTCCCTCAGAATCTCTGTGGGACACAGAAACTGAGACCTATACAGAAATAGTCACAGAGGTGGAGACAGAGACCTGGGAAGAGGATACCACTACTCAGGTGGCTCCATTCACCACGGCAGAGACTTATACTGTAAACTTTGGGGACTTCTAAGAGGGGGAAAAATGAAAGAAAATGGGCTACAGACTGATTTATTTTTCATAAAAGGGTTCAAATTTCTACTCCGAAGGAGTCAATGCTTCCGAAAGAAGGGGAAGGGGGTCTATAAACAACCAGATTCCAAATGTCTATTGAGTGCAGGTTAGAAAATGAAAGGTTGATTCTGATTGGCCGTTGTCGGAAACGCCTTTCATAAAAATACCCCTATTCATGTGTATATAGCGGTTGATCTGTAAACCAAGACGGAAGGTCCACAGTGACTCCAGAGTACGGTGATGTGGTTCTATGAAGGGCCTTACCACGTCACTTCATGCTTATGTAAACCCTTGCAGTGCCAGAGTTTCCATACATCAGGACATACTATATCCCCCTCTGGCACGAGAGGTAAATATTCCGTAGGAAAAAAAATCTATATGCCTGTTAGATGTCTGGCTTAACACCCTGCAGGTCCTACTGGCAAGCGGCCACAGAGCACAATGCTGTCCAAGTATGTAAAATCTCATCAATTACCAATAAAACATTTCTACAAATCTCGCTGACGCCTGTGACGTGTTCAATAATCCTCCCAATGATGACAGCCAGGGACGGGTCAGGGAATGCCGTAAGTGTTTAACAATAACACAACACACACACGCAAGGGGCTTTTAGAGACAGTTTTATTATCTCGCTCCAATGTATAAAAATACAAAAACAAAAAAATACAAAGAACAGTGCTTGGTAATCGTGAGATCAGTGCTATAATAAAGTGTATCTCCAGGCAAGCAGCTGCATACACAGCTGAACTGAGTAGCTCGCTATCCACTCTGTTATACTCCTCTGGGATATGCACACTGCAGCCCATTCGTAAAATGTGGTTCATAACATGGAGTCTGCATGCAGCAGAGAGAACTCTGTGATAGGAGGAGAGCCAGTCATGTGACTTTGGCAGATCGAATGACCGGGGCTCGCTTCTTTGCACATTGCTGTGCTTTATAAATGTACAATAACTTTTTTTTTTTTTCTTGCAAGCAGACGTATGGAGATGTTTGGCTCATACTACTGCTTCATAAGTCAACTCCCAAATATACATGAAATGCTTCTTGGCTAGTCCTTTGATAAACATATCTATACCACAGTGCCTAGCTAACAAGATGGCTTCCCATTTCACATGTACAGCTTCCTGGGTCGCAGTGTGATCTATGTGGGTCGCAGTGTGATCATGTGAGCTGGCGGCATAGAGGTGATACGGGAAGTGGCAAAACTCATCAGAAAATGGGTGTTATCTGCTTGGTTCTATCATTTAGTATAGGTGTGCCAATGGCAAGACTGGCCAAACAGAATGACAAATTCACAGGCAAGACATTTGACGTGTATGACATTAAACTGTATTAAGCAGTTTACTTGAAGTGCCTACAAATGTGACATTTCGGTTTTGGGTGAATGTCGGTGGTTTGATACAGCTCTGGAAAAAATGGATTATTCTGACTGGGTCTACTCATCTTTTAAAGAGAACCTGTTGTCTAAAACAACGTTTAGGGCAGCAAATAAATCATGTTTCCATAAGACCGCATAACAACCATTTAGATTTATATCTAGTATATATTTCTACTGTCCGGGCACAGAGAACCAGCTGTAATACCAGCAGGTGTACACAAGTTATTACAAAATGATACTTCACCATTAATAACATGGCTAATGCGCCATGTATAAAGCAACACCAAGGAAATTGCATTTGAAAACCTGGACTCGGGAACAGAAAATGGAAGTACTGTGGTTCCTCTGTGCTATCGGCATAAGAAATGTCTATATGGACTTACGTACAAGATCACCCACAAGAAGCCCACCAATAAACAATACTCTGAAAGAACGTAAAGCAGAACTCTCCAAAATCACGTCTTAACCCTTCCATTGGGGCTTCCCCAGCACTGCAAGGGTTAAGTGCTCATTATTGTCTAGGAGCTAAAATTATACTTACCCGAACCCTGGATCCCGGCCGGCTCCTACAGCCTGTCTCCTCCTCGGCTCCAGCGATATGTCCCTCTACATCCTCACGTTCTATACACAGTATAGAACATGGCGACTCACGGGACCTTAGACTTCTGGAGCGGAGGGGGAGTGAGGCTGAAGGGGCCGGTCGAGGAGCAACCCGGGATCACGGTTTGGGTGAGTACGATTGTTATTTTAGCTCCCTAGATAACATTAACCCTTGCAGTGCTGGGGTAGCCCTACTGGAAGGGTTAAGATCTGATTTGCCCGGAGTTCTGCTTTAACATGAGCCAACAGTATTCAGTAACATTGTTTTTCTTGCTCATTTCTTGCCCCATCCTCGTTGTCTTGCTGGTGTCTTATCAGGTAAAAATATTAGTGTGATTTGTCCCTTCACATAGTACTGGACTCTGAGTTTTTTTTTATATCTGAAAAGACAATTTCAGTTCCTCAAAGCAAACTACAAGTACAGAAGTGCTGCTTACCAGGAAAGCATGAGGAGAGCTTTCCTACATTTACCTGCAATTTCCTTTCCACTGCTGCCCCACAACAGCCTATAACTCAGGAGATTGGCCACCTACCCATTGGGATAGGTAGTAGAGATCGAGGGGTCCCAGTACACCTACTCAGTTCTAAAGAATGCTGTAGATGTGTATAAAAAAAAATGATCTTAGAGGGAGGGAATGAACCCGGGCTCTTGTAGAAGGGTTATGGAAGGGAAATTACTGGTAAGAGAAATGTAAGGGATCCAATTCATCCTCCACCACAGCCCATGATCAGGGAAACACCAGAGGGAGGACCACACCATAAACCAGTCAGAATTTGAGTTTAGGTCCCCCTGGGTCAATAAAATAGATACCAAGTACCACCCTGAAATCTAATCACTGGAGCAGCCTCTCAGATATTGTTTTTGTGACACTTCAACTTGTTTGTAGAGGCAAAGATCGAGCTTTATGTAAGGTCCAGGCAGCAATACAATGCATTTGCCTCACACAGCAACGGTCATCGGAGGTGTCACAGGACCTGAAGGAAGTCTGCATCAGGAAACAAGAGATTTCAGGGCTGCAACTGGAGTTCATTTACTTATAGTCCTTTCAATGAGGTTCCTAGAGAAGGTGTGGGATCTGCTAATCCCCACCACTTGTCTTTGGGATAGACACTGAGCGGGTGGGGACTGTCCCAACAGGCAGGCAGGCAATCAGGTCATTTGCTACTGTGAAGGATGAATGAGATAAAAATGTATTTCATTCCAGACATAGAACGCCTCTAAAATTCATATGAACTCTTATTTCCTGGGTATATCTAAGTAGTAGAGTTGGACAGATAAAGTGATAATCTCTAATCATTTTGCAAGGAGAACACACCAAAGAACCACAGCTCCTCCATGGCTCAGGAAAGGAATGAGCCGGGTGCTTGCCCCTGCGAGCACGTCCTCGCTCCAATATGAGCCCACGCAAATAGAAGAAAACTGTCCGCAGACTGGATTCTGCTGGGATAGTTTACTGAAACTGGTACCACATCACTGGTGTCTGCCCTCTAAACCCGTGATTGGGTGAAACACGTTAAAGGGGGCAGACCTTGGTCAGGACATCTGTGATATGGTACAAGCTTCAGTAAACTATTCCAGTGGAATCCGGTGCACGGCCAGCTTTTGTTTCTGTTTGTATGGGCACTAATCATTGAGGATGTATTATCATTTAAGAGATGTTTTGTGCAAGGTATCCTAATGGCTGCATGTCAATCTACAAGGATAAGTACTGCACTTATCACTTTTGCCCCTTTACCCTGACCTAACCTAACCCACCCTCCCCCTCCACAGATGCAAACTTACCTGAACCCAACGGCCGCAGCCTCCGGCAATGGCTTACATCCAGCCCGGCCGCATCTCTGCATCACAGCACCATAGACTTCTATGGGGCTGCATCCTGAAGGTGGAGATGAAAGGAGAAGGCAAAAGAAAGCCCTGTAGAAGTCTATGAGGCTTTAATACACTGCAGGGCCAGAATGTAACCAAACCGCACGGGCCGCAGCCATTGTATTGAGGTAAGTATGCATCTGTGGAGTGAAAGGGTGGGTTAGGTTAGGTCAGGGCAAAGAAGATAAGTGTACTTTGCTTAAAGTGTACTTATCATTTAAACCAAGGGTAGCCAAACCTCAGCCCTCAGTTGCTGTGGAACTACAAGTCCCATAAGGCACTGCAAGACAGCCACAGACATGACTTTCAAAGGCATGATGGTAGTTGTAGTTTCACGAAAGCTGGAGGGCTGACGTTTGGCTACCCCTGCTTTAAACCAACAGTTCAATGTTCTGACTACACCACATTTACTGTAGTCACTCTCCGGCCCTCTGGGAGTGTGAAAAAAGAAAAAACGGTTTGTGTAATATAGACATTAAATCAAATGGTTTCACTGTCTGGACATACCTGATTCATGCTTTCTATTGTGTTATATGCCCTTCTTGCCAGGCTCCGGACCTACCACAATCCAAATACTTTAAGGGCCCATTCACACCAGCAGCTGCCCTACAACACACAGCTGCCGGTGAGCTTCTCCTGGCGCATCGCACATTCCCAACGGATCTGGTGTGATTGGGCCCTTAGTAATCAGAGTCTTAACAGAAGAGATGAAGCACGGTGGTCAGTCAAACGACTCCTCATCTCCACTGAATCCAGAGAAGCTGATTGGCTGACACTGTAGATTACGGAGGTTCACCAGGCAGGCTGTCTGGGTACTGCTGAAGTCTGGTACGGTGAGCAGTAAAATGCGTTGGCCCTCAGAACCTGTTGGAATTGAAGACTTGGTTAACACTCTGCACAGCACATAGTGGACATACACACAGTACTCTTAAGCTGGCTCAAATTTTGAGCCGGGTGGAACATTTTCAGCAGAACAGTAACTGCGACGAATCAGATTTCGTGTGTTCAGGCAGCAGCAGGTGTAGCTCCTGTCTGAATACAATAGCTGGCAGGGGAGATTTCTCCATCCATGCTGTTAAGCGTGGGGGAAAATTAACTGATTTCCTCTCGTTCAGTCCACGTGTATGACCAGCTTTTACTCTGAGCAGACTGTAAACAAATTGTTCTAGTTAAAGAATTCCAGCAACTTAAAAAAAAACCTGCCTATGCAGTGGGGCTACCCCTATCCTGCAAGGGTTAAAGGAGAACTATGAGGTGAGTGCTTTTCACTCACCTCATAGTTCTAGCCGACCTGTGACAATGAGACTGTCACAGGTCGGCTCAGTAGATTGGGAAGTGAGCGAACACATACCGGCGTTCGCTCACTTCTCGATCCTGTCACGCTCTCTGCCGTGACAGGGGAGGGGTTGGATTCCCCCCTCCCCGCTCCGCCAGCCAGCTGTCAGTCACGCAGCTGGGCGGATCCCGGCACAATTGTCGGGATCCGCTTCAGCGTCTCAGTATACCGCGAGCTACAGCTCGCGGTATACTGAGCCTAGGGTGACGGGAGGACGCTAGTTTGTGTCCTCCCGTTACCCTAAGGAGAACTATTGGGAAAAGACTTAACCCCATAGTTCTCCTTTAAGTGTTCGTTTTGTCCAGGGGACTCGA